TGCACAATGCATTACCATTACTGGTTGTATTACAATACTCACAGTAGCCACAATGTATGTGGAGTTTTCTTGTTCAATATACAAATTCCTCATTGGAAGACTTTAATTCTTATAAAGCTTTTAGTTGGTACATCATTGGTTAGCTCTTTAAGACCACATCACAAAATGGCATTTAAAAAAACTATTTTTAAAATCTGCACCACAAAGTGTGTAGAAATGGTGATTGTAGAAAGGACTCCTCTACAGTGACATCACTGAGGTTTTCATCAGGAAGAAGCTTTTGGTTCAAATCCTTTCAGTGGTAGTCGAGACAGTGTGTGACGACGAGCAGCTCAACCCTCACTTCACCACACAGGAGATGGAAAAATGAGCATAATGAACAAGGAAGGGCTGATAGAAATGAGAAGAGAACATGAGAGAGAGGTAATGAAAGACAAGAGGGAAGACGTACAGATTGCACCAGAAATAACACAAACAGGAAGCTGGTGTCAACGGCAAAGGAAACCACATCTCTGCACTCGGTAACCACCTTCATCCCTGCTTTCCCCATTTTCTTTGTCTCTCTGTCTTTAAAATCAACAAAGTGTTCAAAGAAACAATCAGGTCAACTTGAATCATTTTACTTGTGACAAACAGTGCTATATTACCATGTTACACTCCAATTGTTCTTTTCCATCTTTTGATGAGGAGAATATTTACAACATGTTGAAGATTGTTCCTGCAGTTCTCAGGGTCATCGTTGGTTATTCATGCACAAAGAGTTCAGGTTGTGAAACTTGTAAGCAAGCAAAGTAAAAAGTAAAGTGAAAAGTACTGTGAAGCCGCTGAGGCCGCTACCTGCACGAACACTAAAGTTATACTCAATCAGACACAATATTTAATAGAATAAAGCACAGAAAAACATTTATCTGCAGGTTACCATTTAAAAAACTGGAGTGCTTTTTCTGTTTTCAATCCTTCTTGATGTCTAACTTTCATATTAAACAATAAATTAAAAAACAACTTTAGACATTTCTAATTGCTCGGTGGATTCTTCTGAATCATTGGGTGATGTGAGCCGAACTCCACCCAGGAGTTTGTTGTTCATGAACACGTCAGAATGTGATGAATTCAAAACTTTATTCAATTTAGTTATATTTAAACACAGAAGTTGTCTCAAGGTGCTTCACACTGTAGGGCAGAGACCCTAATTAAAATGTTTATGTGTGAGATATTAATAGATTAAACTGAACTAAAACTAAACTGTGATGGAGATAAGGCTCTGCAAAACAGGACAAAGGATTTTGTTAAAGTTTGAGAGGATGAGGGCGACAACTCAGGTCAGAGATGTAGAAATGATTTAAATGGTCCTGTCTCTGTCGTATGTTTATTCATGGTTAAGTTACAGGCTTTGCACAACATGTATGAATGTAAAAATGTTTCAGTGTCGAGAGTAATTTGGACAAAGCTGCAGGTGGTGTAACCAAAAAGAAACAGAGTTACATTCAGACACAGAAACATGGGCAGCTTTGCACTAAGGTTATATATGATGTTATTTTATAGCTGTGTGATTGAGAAAAAACTCAACTACATTAATGTAAACTTGGAGATCTGTGTGTGCTACATCCTGTATGTTTTATTGATATAAACATGATTGGCACTTGACAACAAACTATAAACAGATGTCTGATTTGATGAAGCTCCTTTAATGACTCCTTTGTTCTTTTCCAGGGTGGCTTAATGCACAGCAATGACGTCACTTTCAAAACAAGAATTGATTTGGATTTTATCTACTACAATATTGTGTGTGTGTGTGTGTGTGTGTGTGTGTGTGTGTGTGTGTGTGGGGTCTACAGTTTTTGGGTTGGTGTTGTAGCTGCCGTCTGTAAGGCAGGGATGAGACCCTGTGCAATGTTTTTGTTCTCTCACAGTGGATCTCTCACAGTGGATCTCTCACAGTGGATCTCTCACAGTGGTGAGGCACAATGAAACTCACTTTTACATAACTTTGAAGCTAAATTTGTGACTTCTTGATAGACTCACAAAATAGGTGAAATATAGTTACAAATGAAAATATACTACATTTCCAGCTCACATAAGACAATGATGACAGTGATTATGACGGAGGAAGATGACGGAGGAAGATGATGGAGGAAGATGACGGAGGAAGATGACGGAGGAAGATGATGGAGGAAGATGCAAGTCAGAGGTTGTAGTCACTGTTCCTATTGGATGAAGGCTCTCTGCTGTCAGAGATTACCAAACGATCCAGAGCTGTCGGCAGGAGAGACATCAGATTTAAAGCAACAACATGAACTCCTGTGTATACACACACGTGTGTGTGTATTCATGGCCTTGTGGGGACATCTCGTTGACACAGTGCTTTCCCTAGGTGCTAACCCTAACCATCAAAAATGATGCCTGACCCTTATCCTAAACCCACCATAACCTAATTGTAATCCTGACACTAAAACCACATTTTGACTCTCAAACTCGTGGGGACCTGGATTACGGTCCCCACAAAGATGTTAATACCCGTCTACACATACACACACACACACACACACACACTGTCTGGATTTATATATTATATATATTTCATATACTTTTCATAACAACATGCCTGGTCTTTGAGAATATTATTGATGTGGCTAGATGCTGAAGTCTTTGTTAAATCAGGGATAAAAATGTTTCCACGTCGTTTACCTCCCGTGGTCAGTTCAGGTGGTTGTTCAGTACTCCTCTTTTACAGACGGGACCAATAACTGATTTGGACAGTCCTAAAGTTTCCTCCACCTGTGATGTTTTTCTTCTGTTCAGCCTAATTATGACCTCTTTTATGACCTTACCAGTGACTCGTCCTATTACTTTTGCACTTGTAAAAATATGTACATGTATGTAACAATTAAATTCTAAAATTTGAAATGCATTTTTCTCAAATATTGTAAAGAATTAAAGGAGGAAATAATTATACATATTCTTTGACTTGTGTGTGTTACCAGGGTAGGAGTGTCTCTTATCTCCATCATTATTTGTAACTGCAGTTTTCCCTCGATGATAAGACACTGAAAGAGACATAAAGAGATCCATTACTTTTTTATATGTCTACGTGTTTTTCCTTTATCTTTCTGATCATCAACAAAGCACCCATGTACATTTATGAGTGCAGTCCTGTGAAGAAGACAATTACATAAACTTTATGAGTCAATAGCTTGTGGAACCACCTTTAGCAGCAATAACCTTAAGTAATCATATTGTGTATGACTGTCTCTCGCAGATCCTTATTCTGCCTGTCACAGAATTTAAAATTCAATTCAATTCAACTTTATTTATATAGCACCAAATGACAACAACAGTCACCTCAAGGTGCTTCATACTGTAAGGTCGACCCTACAAT